GTTAAACACGGCGTGTGGCATGCGTAGAGTTTTATAAACCAATAGCACGAATTCTCAAGAGATGAAAAAACAAACTCTTGATTTAGCTTGTTAGTAAGGACTTTGGAAGACTTATATTTCAGCTTCCATTGCTTTATTTATAGATTTATAGGTAGCTGTTTAAGTACATAATATTTTAAGGACAACACGTTCTGCCTTTTCTACTTAATTCATTTTTGCTTTCTTGAAGATCTTATCAAGCAGTTTAATAATCACTTCTTGTGGCAGTTTGATCACACGTTGCTAACCTTCCCTTCATTAGGTGATAGAGAATTTAATCACTATTAATTATAATCAACTAAACACACTTTTATCAGTAATTCCTTATGTGAGCCATCAATAAAGTTATCTGATATCCTCATGCACCTGAAGCCTTTATTATCGAAAAGCAATTTAGGATATGATATTTAGCAATCTCATCCGTTCAGGGCAGAACAGGTCACAAAGGATGCTATTTGAGGTCGGGTTATATGTAGATTCACGTCAGCCAAATTATATTTTACCGAAATATATTTTGTTTGATTGTATATAATATATATATATATATATATATATATATATATATATATATATATATATATATATATATATATATATATATATATATTATATACACACACACACACACACACACACACACACACACACACACACACACACACACACACACACACACACACACACACACACACGCACGCATGCACACACACACACACACACACACACACACACACACACACACACACACACACACACACACACACACACACACACACACACACACACACACACACGTGCGCGCGCGCGCGGGCGCGCGCACACACACAAAAGAGAGAGAGAGAGAGAGAGAGAGAGAGAGAGAGAGAGAGAGAGAGAGAGAGAGAGAGAGAGAGAGAGAGAGAGAGAGAGAGAGAGAGAGAGAGAGAGAGATGTATTTTTACTTATATGTTGGCATTTCTCCTTGTACAAATATCTAAAAACAACAAAACAAAAACACTTTCCCATGCACTTTCATTTTACTGGCAGGATTCATTATCTATATGCATTTTCACTGATTTGAAAGTCGTCGTCGGAAATAAGGTAAGGGACCGAACTGCCATCAACAGTATATCCAATCTCAGGGAAGAGAAAACTCGAAACTCACTTCTGATTCTGGCGTACTGCGATTCGCCAAGCCTCTCTTTTCTTCATATCATTTGACACTTCATAGTCATGTTTCTGTATTTTTCTGTATACGATATACATACATATATATTTATTGGATTATTTTTTTTCTTTCAAAATATTATTTTTATCTTAAGAGAGACATGGTGAATCGGGGTAATGCAATGTTCAGAGTGACTTATTTGATTTTATTATTACTATGATTAAAGACTTGCGCGGCCAAAGGAGTTCTCGGACCAGTTGAGATTACTGAATATCTTACTATTCTAAACTTTCATCCTGAACTTAGTGATCGCCATTTTCACGTTTATCCACTTTTCGTAAGTATTGTAGCGTATTAACGTGAAAACATCGATGCTAATGTTTAAGATAAAAGTCTAAACTAACAGGACTTTTGATAAGCGCATGTTCGGAGAGCTGGTCTGGGAACACCTTTAATCGCCCATATCCTCAATTAGCATGGATATCTGATAATACTTTTATGAAGATTTCGCCATTGGGATCCTTGACTTACAAGAACGTATCTGTGGTTTGGGGAAAAAAAGATATCCAGGTATTGATCTCCATAAAGTGATGAACAGAAATGTCTTTTTTTTTTTTGTTTCTTCTTCTTCTTCTTCTTCTCCTCCTTTCCTCTTAATCTCTAGGGATAGACTTATCAACGGTTATGTTCTCTTATTGAAGCTGGGTTAAGTTGGGTGAGATTTGAAGACTTATTACACAGTTGATAAGGATGAACTGACTTAGAAAGAGGAATAAGTAAATCAAAGAGAGGTGACAAAAAATATAGACAGTCACTGAGAGAAATAAAAATGTGGAAATATAAAAAATCAACATGAATACTGAGAGAGTGTTTGACAGATTACTTAACACAGCTTCTTGTGACAGATAAATGCACTATGTTTATCATTTGATTATTTTTGTTCCTTCTTCTATCACGAGAGCTAATTGGCTGATTAAATGCACCAGTGAGAAAATACAACCGTCTTTATATACATACAAACATATAAATACAGCTGATATACATATGCATTCCAGCATTCCCCCTTCATTATGCTGGATGACAATCTTTAATACATAATAAATACATAAACATTGAAATACAACGTACATACCAACCTTGATAAATCACAACAGAAACTGTAAACACTTATGGGTGATATCACGTGATGAGTGTACATTACAGAGTATTTGGCTCCTTGAGTTAAGAATGGGTGACGATGAATTCTAAGAAGTAAATGGTTTAGGATAATGTCAAAATCTTAAAATGAGATTCTACAAGGGTTCTTGTCACCGGACAGGTTATTAAGTCTAGCACTTTAGAAATTTCTCTCAACTATTATCTTTATTATCGTTATCGTCATCCTTTTCATTTACCTCACAATTCATGTTTCCCCTACGCACTCCTATATCATCATGTGCTGACGAAGTATATTCACTTCCTTGTTTTATCGATCGGCTTAAGCCTTGAACCTTTTAATCCACAAAACCGGGATTAATGAAATCTGACACTATCTTTGAAGCTTTACAAGGATTCGATCCCAGATGAATGGTTCTTCTTTGAATTTTCATAGTTACATTGTAGAGTATGCTAGAAGGGCTCGTATCCTTGTGAAGGAAATAAAAACAATCGAAACCTCTCTTGTATCTACTGTATCATTCATGCAACCTTAGATGTTGAACGGCCTCGTTTATACCTTTTCTCTTGTAATCCATATATCTTACATATATCCACTTATGCATGTATTATTCAGTGTCTGTATAAGTGACCGAATCTTATTAGTATGCGGATGAATAGTGTATGTGTGTATATGAATGTGTGAAGATGCGTGTGCCTGTGTGTGCGAAAATGAATATGCGCATATTGGGAGTGCTCATGTCTACTTGTATATGTCTCTAACTATCTAGTTAAATTATCTCAACGCACACGCATGCACACGCTTGAGATCATAATGTGACAGTCTGTTGGATGGACAGTAATAGCACCAGACACCTGCCAGACCACTATGTTTGTTGGTCTCACAGTTATAAGTACGTGCTTGCAGTGGATGACACCATTTCATGTACACATATATATTTCTTTACTTCGGGGCATGTAGTACAGTAACTGTATTGATACCTGTTCTATATTCACGCATAATATGTGTTTATTCTGTCCCAACCGCTTCACAAATTCTGGTTACAAGAAATGCACTTATAAAGGTTGTGAGCAAGAAGAATAGTGTTAATGATAGTGCACATATCTGAATCCATGTTTTAATTTGGGGGGTTTTCCCCTATCAATTTTAGGATGCAGACGTATGAAAAACAGTTGCAAATGATTATCCATGCAATTTTCACATACTTGATCTTTCATGAGAAAAAGAGCGTGCCGAGTACGTAAATATAAGAGCAGCCCATTAATTCTTTATTGCGAAGCATATTTCATATTTTTGTTCCAACATCCAAACACACTCCTTCTTCATCACTTCATCAGCTGACTTATTCGGATCAAGCATTTTGAGTACTACCAAACTGGCCTTATACGTTATGAAGAAAAAGGCTCTTTTTCAAACCCGTGATATCTGGCCTATTGCATAAGCTCCAAATATATCCAAATCTTGAAAAAAGTGCATGACAAATAACACTGAAGACAAACAGTTAACCACTTTTTTGCAGTTTTAGTTCCACCCAGATACTAAGGTATTACACAAATATATTGGGATATATATCTATATATCACATTCATTTACATATTAGGACATATATATATATATTTATTCTTTTATTTTTCTTGGTATGAGGTGAAGATTGCTCAAGATAATGTATGAAGGAGAAGAATCGAATCGCTTCGCAGATGGCGTTGAAGCGGCCTCGGAATTTCGAATACAACCATCTTTTATTTCTACAGCAACGCTTTTGGCCCCGATTTCACTACTTGAATTGACTGATGGCTGGCAGGCAAACTGATATACACCGAAGTCCTGCGAAGGATACGAAGTAGAGACAAAATAGAAACATTTCGTGTAAGTTAGGTAACATTAGTCGGTGTCCCTGTCTGAATTAAGGGCTAGTGATATTACAGTCTATTCTTTGTATTGATGAGCTTTTCCGCTAATCTATTTAGAGTTTTAGTTTTTGTAGATGAATGCACATGTAATAAAAATCACAACAACATCACAATCACTTTAAAGTTGCTTATTGGGCAACGCTGCAGACACTTTTTGGAACGAACACTCAACATTTCACTCGGCTGTATCACTAGTCAGCTGCCGTTCAAGTGCGCCACAACATCCCTTTCAGTCAAGGACGAAAGCAGTTCTTACCACACTCTTTTTCTAGTAGTATATCAGTCACTGTGTTACTGTGAGTACTATGCTTCAAGTGCTCTTATTTTCGCAAGTTACTTTATTGGTAACTCGTAGTTTGTAGCCAGTACTGAGCATAATATATCTGAACATAAAAAAACACTTTTCTTCCAAGGATTATGAAACATTCGATACACTCTTACGGGTTTCTTTTCAAAAGTTTCTCTAGATGATCACATTCTGGTTGTGAACACCCAAAAGTTAAGTCTTGATACGTTTACGAAAAAAGTTAAATCTGCACATCTACGCCCCCCTTGACTCGTAGTGTTCAGAGCTCCGTAAAGCCTTTAAATATTTCTTTTCCATCGTCCAACAACAATAATACATACAAATTCATATATGAATAATATATATATATATATATATATATATATATATATATATATATATATATATATATATATATATATATATATATATATATATATATATATATAATATGTTGACGTGCGCACATATATATACAGTATATGTAATGTATAAGTTCACATTTTAAATACGCATTTCTCTTCATTCATACGCAAGACTCAAGACATATTATTTAATCACTTATTCACACGTTTTTTATGTATCAATGTAAGAATTCCACCTTTTAAAATTTCCAACACCATGATGCCATTTCCCTAAACGACGGATCCCTTGATGTACGAGTCATGCTTCCTCTTGGTGTTGTAAGTGAGGAGCTCAGTGTTGAGGTACTCCTTCGGCACCGTCGTCGTCTGCGTCACGCCCTTGTTGAGCTCGACGCCCTGACGCATCGGGTTGTACCTGCAGGGGAACGGTACTTCAGGTTTCCTCTTTGGGATGAGAGGTCGGTTATATACTTATATATATATATATATATATATATATATATATATATATATATATATATATATATATATATGTGTGTGTGTGTGTGTGTGTGTGTGTGTGTGTGTGTGTGTGTGTGTGTGTGTGTATGTGTGTGCGTGTGTATGTGTGTGTGTGTATGTGTGTGTGTGTGTGTGTGTGTGTGTGTGTGTGTGTGTGTGTGTGTGTGTGTGTGTGTGTGTGTGTGTGTGTGTGTGTGTGTGTGTGTGTGTGAGTATGTGTGTGTGTTTGTGTGTGTGTGTGTGTGTGTGTGTGTGTGTGTGTGTGTGTGTGTGTGTGTGTGTGTGTGTGTGTGTGTGTGTGTGTGTGTGTGTGTGTGTGTTCATATATGTATGTATGTATTTATCTACATCTATCTATATATTTATAAAGAGAAAGAGGAAACGAAAAACACACACACAAAAAAAACGATTCTTGCGCGCGTTTTTAGAAAAAGATGCTGGGGATAAGGATTACTTTTGAAGCTGTTTAGTGTTTCGTTTTTTTTATTATTATTTATGATTTGTTTCAGATAAGAGATTTTCATTTGTGAAATTGTTAGCCTTTTGTGACTACGGATTAGCATCTGGTTTTCCTGTTGATTATATTAAGGAAAATGCAAATCATATATGCTAAAAATATGCTAAACTAATCTTTACAAATTAGAATATGACATTGCATATACATAAGCTAAGTGTTAATAAAACACATTTGCTATGCATATACATTACGTGGAACAAATGGAGTGGAGTAATGACTCATGTACAGTCTCGTATAAAAGTCGTGTACAGTTGCAAGAAAATTCTTAAAAACTTGTTCCGAATTCTGACTTTAACAGTAAAATAAAATTACCTTTTCGGCTAGGTTATGAGGTACACGACTTCAATCCTGCACTGCACGAGAAGTGTATTGTGTAATATTCATTCTGAATGCCATGAGAATAGTGTTAAGAACTCGCACATGCTGCCGACGATGTGGGTCAAAGCTGTGAACACACGATTTTTTTTATTTATTTATTTATCGCAATAAGCTGGTTTAATTGAGGCTTTGGTGTTATGTAAATAGATTTTTTTTTAGAAAGCAAGGGAGTTCTTCTAAATTGCACCACAACCTCGCCCGCATTACTAATGGTTTGCTTAAATATTTCTTTTCCAAGCTCTCTCTATTATAAGCTCACCCTTGTTAGTAACACCACGAAATGAAGCACGCTATAAAAGCACACACACTTCTCATTCTAAATGTGTTCTTAGTCACGCAGATACTCACTCCTCCTTATCCCCTGTGTTGCAGCGGAACCCCAGGAGGACAGTGGGCTCACCCAGGGGACATCATTTTATTTTATTGTTCTATTGAGGTGTGCAATTGCCCATGGAATAAAGGGGAAGGGGAGGGAAGCGGAGGGAAGGGGAGGCGCGTATTTTCCCTTGAATTTAATCATTTCCCGAAATGGAAAGAAAGGATTGGGGAAGAAGGGGGGGAGTCATATCCTGAGCTTGACTATCCACGTGGGTTGGGTTTTGAAAAGAGGGGGAGGGGGGAGGGGGCGTTTACCCCTTCAGCGCTACGGCTTCCTCTCGCTGTCCAAGGGGGCGCTTCGGCAGAGGGCCAGAGGCAGGCTTAACAGGGATGGGACTGCAAAGGAACAGAAGGATGATGATGAAGCGGAGAGAGGCGAGCGAATGGCGAAGAACGGAAGAGGGAACAGAAGTTGCGAGAAATAATTGCAGTGAAAAGAAACTACTTCATTATGGCGACGATGATAGTAACAAAAAGTATTTGCAAATTTGCATCCCTCTCTCCCACACACATACAAATATAACAGATGCAAATATAATAACGCTTATGAGCGGGCACACACGCTCTTTCTCTCTCACATGTACATAGAAATTAACTCACAAGCACACACACACACACACACACACACACACACACACACACACACACACACACACACACACACACACACACACACACACACACACAGGCACACACACGCACACACACACACACACTTCAGCGTCGGCATCCAGACCCTCACCCTCCCCGATCTTCAGCAGCTGCAAAGGCTTCCCGATCCTCACCTGGCATTATACCGAACGGAGGTGAGGGTGTGGCGGCG